GAGCTTTGGTGAACAACCCCCCATGATGTATCTTCAAGCTAAGCAATGTAGGATAAGAATCTGTTGAAAACATTGCTTTATAGTCGAGATTAGCATTTGTTTCATCTTCAAAACAATGTAGGATAATCATCTTTTGACTCTCATCTTTTTTATCTTCAAAAAAAAAATCATCACTCAAAAAACCAACTGTAAAATATATGTATGAATAATGGTTTCAAGAAAAGATTAAAAAGGAAAAACCCACTCAAAAAGAAAATCATCACTCAAAAAACCCACTGTAAAATATATGTATGAATAATGGTTTCAAGAAAAGATTAAAAAGGAAAAACCCACTCAAAAAGAAAATCATCACTCAAAAAACCCACCGTAAAAGTTAAAACTAATTAAAACTTTAAACTTGAAATCAATATAAATCTAATTTATAATTTATAATTAGTTATGTGCCTGCGCAATACGGCGGGATGTAAAAGTTCATTAAAATTTATTCAATTTCGAAATATCAAATTCTTTCAAGATGTCATAAAGCCGGTAAGCGTTTACCGTGTAAGCGTCGCCACTCTTATTTATCGCTCTTACCAGGGAAAAGTTCTCAATTCATGGCGTTTATTCGTGACGAGAGAGCTGATGTGATATATATACTATATTATAAAGCATTTGACAAAAACTCTTAAAAACCATTTTTTATGCGTAAAGTACTGTTTATTTACTTAAAACTCAAGATTACAAGTAGATTTTGCGTAAGTATAGCTTATTAAAGTTTCATATCTGAATTCGTGTAATTAACTGCAGATAAACATAATTAAATACAGAATAAACATCTCATTTTAAATATAAAAAAATCTAAAATATAATTAGGATCTATATTATATTATAAAGCATTTTACAAAAACTCTTAAAACCCATTTTTTATGCGTAAAGTACTGTTTATTAATGCATATTACTTAAAACTCAAGATTACAAGTAGATTGTGCGTAAGTACAGCTTATTAAAGCTCCATATCTGAGTTCGTGTAACTAACTGCAGATAAACATAATTAAATACAGAATAAACATCTCATTTTAAATATAAAAAAATCTAAAATATAATTACGATACTAATTGAGTTCTAACATAATATTTAATTATGATCTTTATAAAATGTTATATTATTAAACTAAAAATAAATTATTTCGTTATTAA